CACAACCTTAATAAAGTTTTGACAGAAGCTTTGCTGTTTTCTTTGTTTTTTCATATTTTTTCTGCAGATTTTTTTTAGACTGAGTTTTACAAATTGCTTTTTTTTTCACATTTGTTGAGAAGACGCGTTTTTATTGGTCCATGCAGACAATTTTACAGAATATGATCCTTAAAATGCAATTCATAAAACTGAAACTGAAAAAGAAAAATTTGAAAACAGAATTAGAAAATATAAAATCAGTTAAAAATGGAGAACAATAGAAAGTAATATATCTAAAAAAAATAGATAAAAAAATCTAGAGAAATAAAATCTAAATTAAATTTACCCTCATATTTTATTGGATTGTATAATTTTTCAGCCGATTTGAATTCTTGTTTTTTATGGAAAGTTGTTTCTGCTGGGAGGGGGGGTCCAATTAGACCTTTTAGGTTAAGAAAAGTCTCTACATTGTGACAAAGTGGTTCAGTTTGTCTTTACCTCTTGTCCCTTATTCTTATTTATGATATTTAATGTTTAAATTTAAAGCTTACTTTCAGCTAGAATAGATAGAAGCAGTGAGATCTGGGTTGTTAGAATAAAAAAGGCCAAAATAATCAGAGGAACCGGCGGCTGATCCTTGATCATCTTACCTCAGATCCATCAGCAGATTCAGTTCACTTCAGTCGACCACCAGACCCTTTTGGCCGTGCAGCGTGTTACATTAACTCTCCTGGTTTCTTACGGTTAATGTTGTGAATAAAAATCTTTCCATTTAGTAAACATGTTGAAGTAGAGCAGCTCCACTCGCCTCATTTTCTTAAATGCTACTAATTTTACATTTAAACTCTATAACAGGATTACAGAAAGTTCTTCTCTCGTCAAACCTGAATATTTTCACACCAGCATTTTTTTTTTCTTCTGTGGAACGTGTGAGTTGCACCTTTTTTACCCTGTGGTGACTTTGGTCTAAGGATTTATCTCTTTATGTTGAATCAGGAACACCCACCATCTCTTAATGAGAAAATTAGAGACTCTTCTTTTACTCTTCCTTTTGATTGTTGAAATGATACCATCGGGTCATTTTCTGGTAAAACATTCAGCAAAGGTTGATTTAAACAAAAATAAATTGCATTTAATGTAATAAACACCATTTTAAAAGGTAGAACAAACTGCCACATCCGGCCGAAAACGTCCGTCTGACTGAATCTCAGATTAGTAAATCTTAAAACGACCTGATCGAGATAAATTATTAAATCTGTGTCATAATTAAGAAGCAGTGATTGATGGCTGTCTACCAGCTCAGTAACTGACTCTGGCTCTTTGACACCAAGGTTGCCTAATATTGAGGTTTATGTCATTTATTATCAAATATTTAAACTTTTCCACAAAGGAACTGATATTTTTTTCCTTTTCAGGGATTTTATATTAATGCAACGTTTAGTCTCTGCTCACCTGTTGCTGTGAACTGGGCTTAAATCTGTATTATTTTTGTAGATCTTGCTGCTATATGCTGCATCAAATCAAACTACATTAAAGGTTTTAATTCATTTAACCTTCTAGTTTTTATTGCAGTTTAACGAACCCCAGCTTTCTAAAACAATGACTCCCTTTCAGTTCATTAATGTCCCCTCAGCTCGACTGCAGGATTTAATAATGAAAATCATAATTCGCTCATAATAAAGCAAAGAAAGCTGCTGTTACTCCTTTAACTCATCACTGATAGTAAAGTTAATATGATGTTTTCCCTGTAATAAAGAACCCACACAAAGGATAGAAAGAAAAGTCGATTTATTACCATTTAATCACAAAACAAATGCAAGATAAACACCCGAAGAAGAAGAGGAATGGTCGGTGGACTAAAAGGGAAAATAGAAAATAAAAGTGTGCTGCTGGTTCTCTGCACCGTCCTCCTTTCTTCTCATACTCTCTCCAAGGCCTCCAACATGATGATGCTGTTTCCTCTGATGACCTGCAAGAAAAAAAAAAACATCCGAATCATCAGCTGAAAATTAGAGCAGATATAAACTCTTCTTCTGCTAAATGATTCACCTGCTGACGGTTCTTCAATTAACCAGAAATTAATCACCTTTTTCAGCTTCTAGTTAATTTGTTACATTTAGCAGTTTCTACAAACCCAAGGTGAATCCTTCCTGCATGTGTGACAGGTATACTTTGTGCAGCGCACACAACGCT